TATAGATTGAGTGATAGATTGAGAGAGAGAGAGATAGATGGATAGATATATTGATAGATAGTTATAGATAGAGAGAGAGAGAGAGAGAGAGAGAGAGAGAGAGAGAGAGAGAGAGAGATAGAGACAGTCTGTAGTGAAGGAGTGCGCTCCCGCTCACGGGCTTGTAAAGCTCTCACTCGAGTGAGAGCTTTACAAGCTTAAAAAATGCCTGTAGCTAATGAGATTGAATATAACAATCAAACATAACAAAATATACACAGCTATATCAGATCGCGTTTTAGATGCGACTTTAGAGTAGAGGGGAATTATTGAAACGGGATTTGTACAGTGTTCCACGGCATCCGCCGCTGCGAAAATGTGGGGCAGGGCTGAAAAGTGGGGGGGCCAATGGCCCCCTGGCCCCCCCGCTTCCGGCGCCCTTGCCGTGGCTGAGCTGGTTCTAGAGGACGATGTGTTCTCGATGGCAGCTTCAGCCACTCAATTTAATGAGTATGACGGGGAGAGCCCATCCCATGCTTCTGGGCCTGGCTCCTGTACCTCAGCTCAGGGTCCCTCGGAGGAGGCAGATGACGGCTCCATGGGTACCGTCATTTGCAGGGCACTGGCTCACCAGTAGCTGGATGCGCTGCAGCCCGAAACAGCGCCTGCCAGTGCGTTCTTTAGGCACACTCCGGCACCCGCCACCCGCACTGTTCCTCCCTCTTGTGAGTATCTGAGGGAGTTACATGCATGCTGGAGGGACACTAAGGCTCTTTACAGTCTTACGTCCGATGGCCGAGCCTTGGTAGCCATGCAGGATGCGGCAAGAGTTGGCCTTGACCACACGCCGGCTGTTGAGCCTACCATTGCTTCCCTCATAGTTTCCCCTGACGAAGCCCTGAGGTCGGAGGCCAGGTGCCCTCGACTCCAATGTCGGGTCACTGATGACCTGCTCACTAAGGCGCATGGGCCGTGTAGGCACCTCATGCTCGCCCTCTCAGCTTCCCTGCAGCAGGATGCTCTTAGCGCTTCCTTAAACCAAGGGTACAAGCTTCAGTTCCGACGCTGACCCCCAGTCTTCAGCCGGGTCAAAATGACCACCATAAGCGACCCGCCAAAATAAATCGCCCTAAACCAGGAGCTGTCAGTCCTCCTTGCCAAGGGTGCAATCGAGCCTGTGGACCCCATCTCACAGCCCGGGCTTCTACTCGACCTACTTCCTGGTAAGGAAGAAAGGCGGTGGACTTCGCCCAATCCTCGATCTGAGGGGACTCAACAAGTTCCTAAGGATTTTACCTTTCCATGGGCTGAGCACAGCGGACGTTCTTCGTACCGTGGCCAGGGGGGAATGGTTCACGTCCGTCGACTTGAAGGACGCTTATTTTCATGTGCCTATTGTGCCTCATCACAGGCAGTTTCTTCGCTTTGCCTTCAGAGGTCGTCATTTCCAGTTCAGGGTGCTCCCATTTGGACTCTCCCTCTCCTTAGACGACTGGTTAATCTGTGCACCATCCCGGTTACAGACGATCCAGGACACGGCTCTCCTTCTCTCTCATGTCGCCCGGCTAGGCCTCAGGGTGAACATGGAGAAGAGTTGTCTGAACCCCTCTCAGAGCCTAACCTTCATTGGGGTGGCTCTGGACACAGTCACTCAACCAGCAAAAACAGTGTTCTCGCCCCCACTCCTGGTAGACGTGATGCTTTATTCTAGCAGCAGCCGACTGGATAAGCCGTCCTGCTAAAACTTCTTGTTTTTTCCAGCTAGGTGAAGGCAGTGCTCTCGCTCCCGCTCCCTCTGCTGGTAACATGGGTGTAGTTACATCCCTTTTGTGTTCGGCGAGTAGGAGCGTTGCTCTACTCTTTCCGTTCAGCAGGTAGCTGGTGAAGGCTGTGTTGTCGCACCCCGCTCCCGCCTACGCTGCATCTGGCATTCGTTATTAACTCAACCAGTGAGGGCGGTGTTCTCGCCCCCGCTCCTGATAGACGCGCTGCTTCATTCTAGCAGCAGCTGCCTGGCTAAACTGCCCTGTTAAATGTCCTTATCTAATCCACCTAGGTGAAGGCAGTGCTCTCGCTCCCGCTCTCTCTGCTGGTAACGTGGGTGTAGGACATTTACATCCCTCTCTGTGTTCGGCGAGTAGGAGCATTGCTCTACTCTTTACGTTCAGCAGGTAGCTAGTGGAGGCTGTGTTCTTGCACCCGCTCCCGGTTACGCTGCATCTGGAATTCGTTATCAACTCAACCAGTGAAGGCAGTGTTCTCGCCCCCGCTCCTGGTAGGCGTGTTGCTTGATTCTAGCAGGAGCCGCCTGGCTAGGCTGTCCTGTTAAACTTCCTTGTTTAACCCAGCTAGGCGCGGGCCTGTCCATCTGCTGCACAGACTCTGCTGTGGGACGCCTTGGCGTCTCCCCAACAGGAAGGACCTCTTGTCTCAGTTGGAGGGTCGGATGTGGCACCCCGACCCCTGCCACCTCCAGCTGTGGGTCTGGCCACTGGAGGGCCCGACCCACTGCTGAGCGACTGCATAGAGTCTGTCAGGAAGACTATTCTCAAATGCTAGGGCACCATCTACTTGTAGGCAGTACGAAAACAGGTGGAAACTGTTTTTTTGACTGGTGCCAAGGGCGAAATGAGGACCCAGCATATTGCTCGGTACCTACGACCCTTGAGTTCCTTCAGTCCCTCCTGGACGACGGCCGGTGTCCCGCTACCGTCAGGGTGTATGTGGCTGCTATATCAGCTCAACACGCAAGGGCTGACAACAGCACAGTGGGGAGCCATAGGCTAGTATCCCTCTTTTTAAAGGGGAGCTCTGAGGCTTCACCCCCCGAATATCCCAAGGGCCCCTACATGGGCTGCGGCCACATGGGCATCTCTGAGCACATTCGCCAGATACTACAGGGTGAATGTTGCCGCCCCTCACCCGCTGGGTGTGGTCCTCCTGCAGAGTCCGCCTAGGCCATCCCTATAGGGGGAGTATTCAGACTTCCTCGTGACTCTGTTGGTATAGGTCATCCAGTGCTAAAGCACCGCCTCTGGCGGTCAGTAAGTATGAAATAGAACGATAGTTACGTATGTAACTACGGTTCTATGAATACTGGATGACCGCCAGAGTTCTTGGTCACTCGGAATCTCGTGTTTCCGCGAGAAGATTCCATAGAACTGAACTCGTTGACAACACCGGAACTTATACCTTCCGGGGTCATACGAGGTCACACGTGACTTTGTTGATATAAATATTCGACCTACGCATGCGCGAGACAGAAGATATCCAGTGCTAAAGCACCGCCTCTGGCGGTCATCCAGTATTCATAGAACCGTAGTTACATACGTAACTATCGTTTTATTCCTTGACTCCCTATCCTTGTGTGTGTGTGTGTCTGCTCTCATCAGCATCAGCCCCGCCCCTGATTGTTTCCACCTGTGCCCAGTTACCTCTTGTTTAAATTCCCCAGCCTTCCCTTATCTTGTGTCAGTTCGTCTTGTCCTGTCTCCATGCCAGTAGTCAGCGTACCAGCGTACCAGCGTACCAGCGTACCTGCGTACCAGCGATTACTTTTTCATGTCTCAAGCCTGATTCATGCTCCTGAGTTATTTAGTAAGTTTTGTTCCTCACTTAGTGAGTGATTTTCTTTTGTTGCCTTTTGAACCTTTTTTCACCTCGTCAAGAGTGTCGATTTTTTTTGTGTGAACTGTTTTGGAATAAAGTATTTTTCTCATACTTTACCTCTGTCTCCCGGGTCGTGCATTTGAGTCCTATACCTTGTGTTTCCAAGTTTGTGACGGAAACAATAAGTGACTGCTGCCTGTTTATTACAGAAAGGGTCAGTATAGATGAATATATATTATATAAAATGTTTGCGTTAACGTGCAAAAAAAAATCAACGCCACTAATTATTTTAACGCGATTAACGCATGTGTATTTTTTGTCCTCGGCCGCCCCGTAGTTTCAGAGCGCATCGAGTTTAAAATACCATCTACAAGCTGATGCTGACAGCCCCGCTCCTGCCGCCCGCTTGTAGCAGACCACACTTCCACGCTCACCGGCAGGCCCGGACTGGCCATCGGGAGGACCGGGAGGGTGTGTGTATGTGTGGCGCGACTCGCGCGAGCGAGGCACACCTTACGTGTTGTTGTTGTTAGTATCTGGTGCTAGCTAGCTGCGCTAACGGATATAAGGAGCTGTTTCCATGACATTTCGCCGACAACTGCGCCGAGCACTTGACTTTATGCAGGTAGCCAGACAGTGGGACATTGTACGAAAAGTCAGCACACTCAGCACGGATATGACATGATTGCAGCGTCCAGGCAGCTCCCGTTCGAGCATATATGCCTTGAGCTGCACATAGCTCCAACGATCCATCACAGTGTCTCCACATTCTCTCACACACACACACACACACACACACACACACACACACACACACACACACACTGTTGTTGTGGTTAATATTCATGAGAATATTTGTCATTGTTCAAATGATAATAAACAAACATATAAAGCATATTTGTCCACTCATATGTTGATAAGAGTATTAAAAACTTGAAAAATATCCCTCTAAGGTACATTTAGAACAGATAAAAAATGTGCGATTAATTTGTGATTAATCGCGATTAACTATGGACAATCATGCGATTAATCGCGATTAAATATTTTAATCGACTGACAGCCCTAATAAAATTATATTAATGCCATTAAACTGCAACTCTCACTATTTCAATACCATTAATGAAATTATTTGTTGCTGGAAGTAATTTATGCAGCTAACAGCCTCTCACACTTTTGATTTGGCGGGTCATCAAGCAAAATGCTGGGTTAACTGCACATATCTGCAACACACACATCAACAAGAGTCCAAATATATGTGGCCTAGTATCTCAGAGCTTTGGAAATATATATTTTATAAACTCAACTGTCCCTGTTGCCCCAGTTGATTTACAAATATTGCTTCTTACTGCATTCATTAATACAGAACATTTTTATTTTACCTGTGTGTGTGTGCGTGCGTGTCATCTTTCCAGGCAGACATCGATGGACTGTCTAAGAAAAGCAGTTTGTCAGTGAGACAGGTTGAACGCTGGTTCAGGAGGAGACGCAGTCAGGACCTTCCTGGAGTCCTGAAGAAGTTCAGAGAGGCCAGGTCAATTGTGTGTGTGTGTGTGTGTGTGTGTGTGTGTGTGTGTGTGTGTGTGTGTGTGTGTGTGTGTGTGTGTGTGTGTGTGTGTGTGTGTGTGTGTGTGTGTGTGTGTGTGTGTGTGTGTGTGTGTGTGTGTGTGTGTGTGTGTGTGTGTGTGTGTGTGTGTGTGTGTTACCTCAAATAGCCATAGTCCATACATCTCTCCCCTTTGCTTCCTACAGCTGGAGGTTTGTCTTCTACATATCGGCGTTCATTGGAGGACTGATAGCTCTGTACGATGTGAGTACCTGAAATAAAGCATGACTCCATCTCAGCCAGAAGCATGATTTTACTGTGAATAGAAACTTTAGATAGCTGAGGTTGAATGTTAAAGTCACTACCAGCTTTTTGGGTGTGGCTCTGTATATTCCATCAAATTCTATATCTGTAGCCGTACTAACACAAACAAATTCTCTCCCCATGGTTTTGCAGAAAGAATGGTTTTATGACACCCGGGAAGTATGGGAAGGTTTCCCAAAGCAGGTTTGTATGGTTTTTATACGCCATAGTCATCATATTAAAGCTAGGGTGGGCTACTTATTTTAGATTAGTCTTTGTTATATTGGTTGAAATACATCCCGAAACCAATCAATAAAACAAATGCTACTACCAAAGAATTGAAACATAAAGGTAATAATAAATATAAATGTTTGACATGCTTATTGTCTTTGTGTTACAAGGAAGCAACACCTATGACTTTTTTTTTTTTAATTAAAGCTGTACTAATGGGAGGAATATACATGAGGCTTTACAGGTTATTATTTAAAAGGCACCTTCATTACAAATACAATGATGCAGCACTGTGATTGGAGAATATATGATCCCATAGCTCACATTTCAGTCTGTTCTTAGCTTTTAAAATGGAGGTGAGTGAACAATAGACTCCTCTAAAGTTTCCTCCTGCCAGATAAAGGAGTTAGGACAAAGAGCGGAGCCCTGAGGGACATTAGTGTGTACTGTGTGACTGAGATTCACTGGCTTCATGTTACATGCTCTGCCTCTGTTTCTGTGTGTGTTCAGTCCATGCTGCAGTCTCAGTACTGGTATTACATCCTGGAGATGAGCTTCTACGGCTCACTCCTCTTACGCGTTGCCTTTGATGTTAAGAGAAAGGTGAGTAGTGGTTTTTACAAGCTAACATTTACACTTAATTAAATCTCCTGAATTATTGTTGTTTAAATATTCAGCTTTTATTCCCAATAAAAGGAATAAAACACAGTATATTCACAAACTCGTCTGTACTGCATTTAGTAAAAAAAGTTCAAAAAAGTGTTCTATTAAAGGCTTTTTCACCCCATAATGTAACTCTCCCCAAAAAAGCATGCTAATTATTTTAAATCATTATCCTCCCTAAAATAAGCCTAAGAGAAGTAGACCTGTGACTTCACACCATCATGTTCATCAGAAAACTACACAACAATGTGTCCCAAAAGAGCCCTAGGGTTTGAAATATTTGCTACATGGCCACAAAAAAATATGTGATTTAGCAATAAAAACGTATTTTTAATAAGAGTTAGTCCCAAGACTGGTTAGACTCTAAAACATTTTTTAAATATAGTAAGATGAAAATAACATCCATCCTCAAAATGGTGCTAATGGGAAAGCAGTGTATTAGTCTGGTAGAGACTACTGGGTTGTTGGTAGGTTGACTGTGTTTCTCTTCCTACTGTAGGACTTTAAGGAGCAGATCATCCACCACCTGGCTACACTGGTACTGCTATCATTCTCCTGGTGTGCCAACTACATCCGGATAGGAACGTTGGTCATGCTCATCCATGACGCCTCTGATGTTCTACTGGAGGTCAGTCACACAGGTTCAAACAGCCCAACGACCTGTTGATGCTGGAAGATCCTGCACACTCCCTGATTATGTTTACTGTCAGTCATCTTTTTTACAAATTTAGTGCATGAAAACTATGGTTAAGGTTATATTGTGGTTAGGCTGAACAATTTCAGATAGGAGGTGGGTTAGGCTGCTTATATACCTGATGAGGGTCAGTGAAATATCCTGGTTGACATGTTAAATCATGGCCAGGAGGCCGGGCGGTTTCTATCGTTTTTCCAACCAAGTTTAGATTTAGCCACGCCTACTTGCACCGACGTAGCTTCGCACGGCCTAGTCACGGCTACTCTACGTCTACTTTAAAGTTACAGAGGGAGCATTTTAACTCTGAGGCAGTCAACAGACCGTAGTAAATTAATATATATATTGTTTGTACTCAGATAACTCTTAGCTCGGTTCTCTGCAGCTCAGGTTCCTAATCTCCCCCCTATGTGCTTTTTAAAGTTAAAGTAAATATACTCAAATACTGTACTTTTGTATTTTCAGATTGTATGTTAGTTGGTTATTCTGAAATCCATGATGCACTAATTTTAAAAGATTCATTAACTCTTTATAACTGTGATCATCAGTTATATTTAAAAAGTGTTATTTTCATCAATCTACTTCCAAAATATGCTCTATGAAGCTACTGACAAATACATGTTTCACCGGATGAAAACACTGCAGGTGACACTGCGCCAATCAGATCTAAACTGGGTTGGAAAAAGGATAGACGCGGCCGGGGGTTAGCAGAGTAGCTCTGTAGGGCAGCTAGGAGTGCGGGTCAGGTGCAGGCTAGGATGTTGGAGTGAGATCAGAATCAGAATCAGAAATGGGTTTATTGCCAGGTAGGTTCACACGTACGAGAAATTTGACTAGGTGCCATGATGCATACATAAAAATAAAAAACAAAGATTTAAAAAAGTACACAGATAGCGAACTATATTAAGAAAACTGTGATACAAATGTAAATATAGTAAGATAGCAATAAAATAAGCAGTAATTTACATTGAAATAGAATGCAATACATTATAGAATATAAAATATGTACAGTAAGCAATATTTAAACATTGTGTGCATTAATGTAATGCATATAGAGTCTGCGTAAAGTGTCAGTGGGAGGGGCGGGCCTTGTTTAAGAGGCGGGTAGCCAGGGGCGTTTCCTGGACCTGGAAACATTAGGGGCTTAGCCCACAATGGCGGTGCCAGAGATTTTCTTTTGGGGGTGCTGTGGGGTAGCTTGACGTTTCATAGAGGGTGCTCAAACATTTAGGGTTTCCCATTAATGTACCGGGCGCTACAGAGGAATGTTCTACTGCAACAATCCCCACGCACACACACAGTACACCCTGCGACTGTTACAATGAAGGCTCGATAATCAGCTCAGGGCATATAGGTGTAAGCAGGGGGAAAGTGCAATTTTTACAAGTGGGGGGTGGACCTATCCTTCTCTAGGGGGGGTCCGGGGGCATGCTCCCCCGAGAAGATTTTTGTTTAAATATTGAAGTTAAAAGCATCAATCTGGTGCACTTTGAGAGCAACATGAAGAGATCTATGGATACATCTCTCAACACCCATATGAAACAGAACTGTAAACAGATTTACTTTTTCTTTATGGATATTTTACAAATCACTCCCCTTTCAAACTGTATTCTTGTTTTACTGTCATATAGTATTTCATACCTGTTTTTCATTTATTCTCTTATTTTGTGTATAACTATAATGATCATATGAAGGTGTGCCTTGGAAATAATCTTTTACATAATAATTGCATTCACTGAACACGGGAAATTACAATCCTGCCGTCCTCTCTAGTGTCATGATGAGGTTCAGGTAAAGCACGGTTAATGTATTATATTCAGGGGTGCACATCACTTTTTTAGTGAGTTACTCAGATGAGTACCAGGAGACAGCGTTTGGTACTCACCCCACACGAAGCGTGGTCCTCCTCAGTGTCCCCTTCACTGTCCTCAATTTACACTTCTTGCATGCTAGATGATGAAGATGATGAAGATGCACCTCCCTGTCTCTTTTTAAGCCTCCGATTTGCTTTCTCCAAAACTTGTTGCCAAAACTGTGAAGTCCTTGCATTTCCTGAGGCCAAGTTGAAGGATCAAATACTAAGAACTGATCACATGACTTGAAGTCATATCTGATTTCAGATGTGGGAAGTAACAAAGCACACTTATTTACTCAAGTACAATTTTGAGATACTTGTAGTTGACTTGAGTATTTCTATTTTATGCTACTTTGTACTTCTACCCCACTTCAGTTCAGAGGTAAATGGTGTACTTTTCCTCCACTACATGTATTTAATACCTTTAGTTACTTTACAGATGTGGATGAATGATGTGAAATATAATCAAGTGTTAAATCAGACTTTAGTTCCACCTGGAGTAAATCCACAAGCTACCCTGCAGTATACAAAGTCATTCAAACTAGCTGCACCTTTACCAGCTTTGAGAACACTTTCATGATCAATCATTATAAAACATATCATATATATTATTCTGAAATGGACCAATCTGCACAATGAATACTTTTACTGTCGCTACTTTCACTATATTTTGATAATACTTTTCTAATTTTACTTGAGTAACATTTTGAATGCAGGACTTTTACTGTAACAGAGTATTCCTACACAAGATCTGAGTACTTCTTCCACCTCTGTCTGATTTCAAACTCTTCCATAACACCCTGAGTAAGTTTGCAGCTGTGTGTTTCACTCCACTTTGGTGTAAATAAAACTGCAGCAGCTTGACCACAGAGCGTGAACGTTGTGATCAGCTGATTTTGCGCAGTTCTCCAGTGTGTGTGTGGGGCACAGAATGTGCACAGGGGAGTCTCCCACCGCAGCCAGTTGACGTAGTTTTGGTACAATTCTGTTGTACACACCGACGTTAACCTGGTCTGTGCACACGGCGACCAACTCTGTCGTCCAGTGATCTAAGCCTCTGCCTCCTGTAAAGCTTCACAGGTCCGTCAACTATGGCCTGCGCGGCTCACCCAGCTCCAGTTCAATCAGTCATAGAAAGATTTTTTGCAGGGAGCGAAATGGCAACGTAGCTGCTTAATGTCTTTGGGTTTTTTGACATGCCTAGTAGTTTACTCCTTTGAGTGTTGACAAGAAACACGTGTAGACGAAATATGTGTTTTGTTTTGATGTTTTGAGGTACGCAAAGGCGCGTAGTGACACAAGTGACGTTACGCAATTCAGATTTGTGCCGCGCATGCGTACCTGCATACCAGTTATGTGCACCCCTGCTTATATTATTGAGGGAGAATTGTCCGGGGCTAAAGAAAGGGCCAGGCGACGCCACTGCCGGTAGCGGAGGGGAAGAAACTTTGGGTTACTTAACGTAACCTTGGTTCTTTGATAACAGTGAGTGAGGTGTTTCAGTATGGGGGAGACGCTCCCGCGTGACCAATGACACAACGTCTGTCAGTGACAGACAGGTCGAAATGTACTTGGGGCATGCCCCTCATATTAATACAGATTGACCGCCCCTTCTCAAATCATTCAAGACCGGTTTCTTTCCATGTCTCTGCGAGGAGGGAAGTGATGGTGAAACACCTCACTCTGTTATCAAAGTTATTTTTCTAACTTCGCTCGGTGTTTCACTATGGGAGATATAGACCATCGCACCCCTGTACTGCACCCCGTGAGGAGCGCAGGATGAGGTCCTTCACGACACAGATCTCATCCCAGAGGGCAGGGTTAGGTGACCCAGTGTCCAGCTGTCGGCCCATCTCCTCCAGAATCTCACCCTGGTACGCAGAGAGCAGTGTCATTGCATTGAGAGAGCAGTTTGACTGCGCTGCGTAATTATAGGTCCTCTGGAAAACTGAGGCGGTGAGGCGCTCAATTTTGTTAGGCAGAGCGATGTTGGTGGGCTGCTGCCTTCGGTGGGCCGCTGGCTCTGGCGTGGGCCGTGGACTTGCGAGTCTCCGGCGGGTCCGGCGCAGCGGCGCTGTGAAAGTCCACCGCCGTTGCGAGTCTCCGGCTGTAACAATCCACTACCACCCGCGAGGACCCAGGTTCGATTCCGGCCTGAGGTCCAACATTTTTATTTATTTAAAAAAATAATAATAATCTCCCGTTCATCACGTCCATTCGCGACCCACTGATCACATCTCTGCGCCCCACCAGTGGGGCGCGCCCCACATTTTGAGAAACGCTGGTGTACAAGGAGAAGAGCAGAGGGGAAAGAACGCAGCCTTGAGGGGAACCAGTGCTGATGGTCCGGGGGTCAGAGACATGTTTCCCCAGCCTCACGTGCTGCTTCCTGTTAGACAGGAAGTCTGTGATCCACCTGCAGGTGGAGTCGGGCACGTGCAGCTGGGAGAGCTTGTCCTGCAGCAGAGCCGGGATGATGGTATTGAAGGCGGAGCTGAAGTCCACAAACAGGATCCTGGCTTAGGTTCCTGCTGTGTCCAGGTGCTGGAGGAGGAAGTGAAGGGCCATGTTGACAGCATCGTCCACAGACCTGTTGGCTCTGTAGGCGAACTGCAGGGGGTCCAGTAGGGGGTCTGTGATGGATTTTATGTGGGACAGGACAAGGCGCTCAAAGGACTTCAGTGTTTCCCCTAGGTTTACTGCTTTGAGGGGGGGGGGGGTCCTTCCTGAGCGGGGGGGGGGGGGGGGGGGGGGGGGGGGGGGGTTATTGGGATATTATTTTTTTAAATCCTCTGGAGCAGAGAGAGGAGCTGTGGATTATTGTTATTGATTAATGCATCAGTGTTTCTTAGGGTCAAAAACACTAAACTCACAACTTAATATGATAGCGTTTAGTTTATTTAATAAAAGAGCACATGTTCAATGTGAAAAGTGACAGTAGATATAGATTAGTTGCAATTTGGTGCTATAAATATATATATATTAAAAAATATTATATATATTTTTTTTTAAACACCTTGAATGTCAGGGGGGGCGCGGGGCTCCGTTGGCGGGGCTCCGTTGGCCCCTCCAAGACAATGGT